GGGTTGCGAGATGAGCCTCGCCTTACCGCCGCCACGGACTCGGATGTCAGGGCTTCAAAGCGCGGTGCCGGCGGCGAGGGCGGGGTCACGGGGGGGAGGCCATGCAGGGATAGGGAGGAGCTCGGGAAAGGATTAGCACAACCCCCGGGGTGGGGATGCACCCACCTGACCTCAGGGCTCCATTTTCTCTCCAAAAACAACAATAAGCCCCCGCCTACAAAGGGCCGCCCCCCGCTTGCCTCGCAAGCCCTAATTTTGGGCCGCTCACCTGCTCCGCGTGTGTCTTTCCGGGGAATGTGTCAGAATGACTGGGATGGTTGGCTGCTCTAGTGGGAGCTTAGGGAGACCCTATTTTAGCTGGGAAAATCGGAGGGGCTTGTGTCCCGAGGCATGACACCACACCCATAGCCCCCCCAGCCTGTCCCGTCAGCATAATTTCAAAAGTGGCCCCCGCTGCCATGCCGGCTGGCCCGGGAGCATGTGAGGCGGTTTGTTTAATGGGCAGGTGTGAAGTCGGGGGGGCGGGGGGGGGGGGTCGCCCATGTACCACCTGCCCATGGGGCTGGCTAACTGACCCCCCCGAGCTGTGATAGCAGCACCTCCCTGGGAGCTGGTGGGCGCTGAGTGAGGGCTGGGCCGTGTGTGAGATGCAGGCCCAACAGCAATGGGTCCAAAACTCCTGTGCCCTCCCTCAAAAAAAAGCCCCCCGATTAAAGCATTGAAGAAGCTTGGCCTGGTTGATGTGCTGCTGCAGCCACCCATCCGCTGTGGTCGTTTACAACCATTCCTGCGCAACTGCAGTCAGCGTGTGCAGACTCCTGGGTGCTGCGCATTTGGGGGGGGGGCGGCCGTCTCCCATTATGAATGATATATTGCAGGATACAGACTAGGGGGGTTAGGCTTCAATGGCCCACTTAATCCCAGCTCATGAGCAGAACACGTGTTCACGCCCGTCGGAATCCTCTCACCTGTCAGGGTGGGGCCCTCGAGGGGGGGGGGGGGGCAGGGGGCGGGAGATCTCTACAGCGTCGTTCTCCCACGCTGCTTCCCCGCCACTCTGAAGGCTGCTCCCAGCTGTCAGCCGGCCACATAAAGGCTTTAGTTCCACGGCACGGCGCACAAAAGCCAGCCTGTTCGGGGTTGGGCCCGACGTGGGGGGGCCACACTAAAACAATTTAAACAAGGCAGCGACGCGTTGCACTTGCACCCTTCAGGAGTTCCTAGAGATGATGAGCGTGTAATTGTGGACAGAGAGCTCTCTGAGTCCGACTCACATCGAGCACCGACAAAAGGCAGACTGAGCTTTGCGTAATTACCAGTTCGTTAAGTGCTTCTTTCATGTTTGTCACACATCGAACGCGTGTAAGAAGTTATATAATACACAAATGACCGTGATGTGACATGTATGTATGAGAGACACAGCAGACAGCGTGAGTGGGGCAGAGGGGAGTAACCAGCACCGAAACGCGCTTGTAAAACCACAGCGCGTCTCTCCCTGCCAGTCCGGCAGACCTGATCCCGGCCCATTGATCAGGCCGCAGGAACGAGAGCCAAACCACCGAGATCAGATTCCAGAATCGATCACTTCCTCTTTCATCTGCGCTTGTGTGACCGCTCGCTCATGTGTATCTGTAGGGGGGGGGGTGGTCCTCAGGGCGACCGCGGCCTCGTTAACCGGATTCGGTGCCCCCTGACAGTATAACCACTGCAGAATGTTGGGGGGGGGAGTGAATAATTCTGTCACTCTGCAAGATTGTTCGAGCTTTTCTCCACTAATATCCCGCCTCTGCGAGTACCTTCTGTGACGGTCGCCTTTTAAAGAAGCGCTTTCGCACTGATAAAGCACGACAATCGTGTCAGAGGCGACACGCGTGCGGCGCACGAGGACGCCGCAGCTCCTTACGGCCGTAAAGCTAAAATTAGGCGGGGCTGGTTTTTCCGATGAGTCGGTGACCTTTCTGCCAGGGACCATGGATGGTGCAGCCAGGAGCGCGGCGGGCAAGGCGGGGTCCACGCAGCAGGACCTCAGGGGTGGCCACCGCCATGCCTGTTTCCGTTCAGCTGTGTGTGTGTGCGTGGAGGGGGGTGACGGATTGATGACAGGAACGGCCCGGGAGACAGGATCCGGAGGAAGGAGGCCGGCCTCAAACGGCTCCAATAAAGGAAGCGATAAAGCCAAGCGGGGTAGGGCCGGGTTCGGCTTTCCGAGAGGAACAAATGGGGCAGGTCTCCACGGCAACAACGCTGCTGATGTCACCCCTCTGCCGGCTTGGGGAGGCTTTGGTGTTTGCCGGTGGGCTCGGGCGGGGGGAGGGGATTTAAATACCGCAGCATCTCTGACAGCTGACATCATATAAATCAGACAGCCGCTTAAAGAGCTTATATTAGCATTGTAGAGACATGGGTACTGGGGGTCACGCATTCCCCCTGCCACCCTTCGCCGGGTGGACGCATCCTTGACGGACGCAGAGGGCCTTATGAGGAGACCCCTGTACTGCTGGCAGATTCGAACTCGCCCTGCTCCAAGTACATGGGCTGCTGGCCTTCTGTGTCACGGATGCAGTATTTTTGGCTAAAAGAATCAGACTGAATGGGTGCATTTCTGTAGATCACAACCGTCAGCAGACGCCATTTTCGAAGCACTTCGCCACTGGGAGGGCAAACCAAGGTCCTGTTATAACACCGAACGCAACTTTGCTCCTGTTTAGATCTTTTTTTTTGATCTGACAGCTGTTATTCATTTATGACCCTCCCTGCCTACGTTCTCGTCTCCTGTTCCTCCAGATAATATATTTGCATTAATATTTCATCGGATAGTAATGCGATTACTCTCTCATTCCGCCACTTCTAACGTCCGGCGTGCTTCCCGCACGGATCACTTTCGGCCAGACAGAAAGTCACTGCTCTGCAGTGTGCAGGGTACTCTCTGTACGCCCCATAGGCCATACGGTCTACAGACCGTATGCTCTACACGCCGTACGCGCTACTTGCCGTACACTTTACACACCATATGCTCTACAGGCCATACGCTCTACACGCATTACGCTCTACACGCATTGCACCCTACACGCATTACGCTCTACAGGTCATACGCTCTACACGCATTGCGCACTACACGCATTGCGCACTACACGCATTGCGCTCTACACGCATTACGCTCTACAGGCCATACACTTTACAGATCATATGTGCTACACGCGTTACGCCCTACAGGCCTAACGCTCCACACGCCATATTCTCTAAACATCGTATGCTCTACACACCACATGCTCTATATGCCATATTCTCTATACGCCACACACTCTACATGCTGTATGCCCTGCACACCATACACTCTACACGGCATATTCTCTACACACTGACCGGTCGAGAGATGCGCGATCTACATGTCATACACGCTAGATACTATACATGCTGTATGCTCTAACCGGCATACTCTCTGCACGCCATACTCTGTACACACCATATTCTCTAATTGTCGCATGCTGTACACGCCATTTTCTCTATGCGCTGTACACTTTACACGCCATAGGCTGTACCCTCTTTGTGCTGTATGCACTACAGACCATATGGCTCTACATCCCATACACTCTACATGCCATAGGCTGTACCCTCTTTGTGCTGTATGCTCTACAGACCATATGGCTCTACATCCCATACACTCTACATGCCATAGGCTGTACCCTCTTTGTGCTGTATGCTCTACAGACCATATGGCTCTACATCCCATACACTTTACACGCCAAATTCTCTCGGCTCTGCACACTGCATTCGTTTATCCTGTGCACAGAGCCCAGGACCTAGCAGGTCGCATGCTCTGGTGGATCAGCATCAACACCTTTCGCCGATTCTGAGGCGGGCCCCGGAACGGCAGCCATTCGGAGAGGCAGGATGCAGACCTCACACTGGAGGCGAAAGCACGAGAGCGGCCGGCAAACAGGGTTTGGCAGGTATGTTAAAAATAGAACGGTTACAGTCAGACAGCGGCATTTTTGGACAGACGGGTACCGCCGTGTTACTGGAGATGCTGCTGGATCACCACCAGGGAGAGAGAGACACGTGAGCTGCCACACAGTGTCAGCCATCATTCTGTACCCACAGCCAAAGGGAAAGAGGGAGGCTCTCTATGGACAAAGATAGCCATCCTTTAAGGAGGTACATAAGTACTAAGATTCCAGAACCATGCAGAGACTGATAACAATCTAAAGTCAAACAACAAATGATTCCTTAAAGAAACATGGCTGCCCCCCCCTCGCCCCGGCCTCCAGGGGTGTTACATAAACATAACCCCTCACCACCCCAAAGACACGCAGCTCTCATCATTCATGTGTTGTGTACATTTTTTTTTCCAGACACAACAAGTGTAATGAAACTTCCATTAATATGTTGCCCAGGTACGGCCCCCGCCTTGCCCCAGGGGAAAGACCCAGATTCTAGGAGGACCCGGAGATGATGGGGGGGGGGCAGGGGGTGACAGAGAGGAAACCAAGTGGGGGGGCAGGGGGGGATTTGAGGAGGGGGAGGGTAAATCCATCTGCAGTATGTCTAATTGTCACTGAATCCCCAGGTGGTGGGAATTTAAAAAGCCATCCACAGGAAGTGAACGAAGACGGTAGGAAAACATTTAGCGGATCGATATGTGGGGGGAGCTGAGAGTCGCTGGAGCGTCCGTTCAGGGTCCCGGCCATTCCAGTCGGAATACTGTTACAATCCTGTTAGCCAGAAGGGCGCGATCCACCGATTCAGCATATTCTTGCCCCAACCCCGGCCTGTCAGGGTGAATCACTGGCTCCACCCCCACCCACGGCGGCAGCGTGCTGATGTCACGATGGGCCCCTGCAGACCTGGACCTACCTTCCTTTAGCATCCCCACTTTCAGACACTTCATGAAGCGACAGGCCTGGCAGGACTTGCGTCTCCGCTTGGTGATCTCGCACTCGTTTGTCGCTGGACAGCTATACTCGATGTTTCCTGTAGGGGGGGGGGGGGGGGTCAGAGAAGGATGACGTGAGCCACAGCAATAACGTCGACAGCACGGCAGCAAAAAACCCTCAGCAGAAGCAAAAATCGCCTGACACAGCATTAAAGGTAAAAAAAACACCCACAATGCAGCGCATTTGCAAAACGACACCATTAGAAAATAAGCACGACGCATTTGATTGGACGGTACTGTGATTTCGCTTTGCTCTATCATTCCGGCTAAAAAGGCAAGACAAATTGCTGCGGGTGCGAGGATGGGACACGTGTGGCCGGGAGGCGCGGGGAGAGTCCTGAGCAAACACAACACGAGAGTCTCCTGACGCATGCCACCGCTGCACCTGTGCAGAGACCACAGCTGTGCCGTTTCACCAGCTAAACAATTATTGCAATTCTCAGAGGCGACGCAGGCAGATTTTTTAAGACAGGGCAGATGTAATGGGCAGCCGGAACTGAGAGGGTCAGCGACCCGATTCCGGAACGGGTCACGCACTCTGGATTGACACTGACCCTCGCTGCCGAGATCAAAAACCCGACCTGTGATGCATTCTGGGAAGGCATGTGGGCCCAGGCCCAAATGATACACCACTGGAGGGCGCCATTGAGCGGTCGTGCCCAGACTGACAAGTAGCATGTGGATAAATGCTACTGTCCCGCAGTCTCCATATACAGTATATGTCCGGGTGCATATTTTAACAAGTTCCAGTTGTTCTGAATTCACATCACATAAAATCATCACTAAGGCAACTGTAAGCCATGACATTTCTCTTCACATATCATTTTCCTACAGTTAGACTCAAAAGATGCAGAGCGGAATGTTGTTGATGGAATTTTGATCTATTTATTTGCACGTCAGCCTGGGCTGCGGTTAGTCCCAGAAGGGCGGGGGGCAGCTGACCCTGGACCCCCAGGGATTTTGGTCCTCTACTGCCTTTTCATGTTCTTGGTGCGTGTATGCGTGTGTGTGAGCAGGTACACCTGTTCTTATGGGGACACAATGTCCCCATAACGTGATAAATATCCGTAGGGAAAACTCTATTTAATAAAAATCGGTGATTGCTATGAAAAATCTAAAAATGCAAAAACTCTTGTATTTTGCTTGGTTACTTATGGTTAGGGTTAGGGCAGGGTGGGGGTTAAGGTTGTCTTAGTTAGCGTTAGCATTTTTCCCACAGATGTGACTGAGCAGGCCCCATAAGGATAGGTATACCCGACATGTGCGTGTGTACGTGTGTGTTGATACTTCTCGCTCTTTGGAGTGACTAGGTGGGCAAGGTCACTCCTTAAGCCGAATCAAATGGGGGAAATCACCACGGCAACAAGAGACTCCAAATGAGAATCTTCCGGGAAGACAGCATCGCGCTTGTCGCGTGACCCGGCAGCCAGACCCCAGCGCGAGCCGCCTTCCTGGTTCGTTATCCCAGTGGATACCCCCCCGTCACTGAAGCAGGCACTCTCTGCCTCCGGGGTCACCACTAGGAGTGTCGCCATGGTGACCAGACTGGCTGCCCCTCAGCCCATTAGCAGCCAGAGTCCCAGTCAGTGCGTGTGCAGGGCGGAAAGGGCTTATGACAACATATCCACCCCTCTCCCAAATTCGGAGACCTTTGCTGTGTCTCAGAGCAGGAGCATGTAGGCATAACCCTCTGCGCACCATGTCATCAGCAACCCGGCCTCATTAATGTAGAATGCATTCCTTAGCCCCCCCCCCCCGCAGACTCCGGGCCCTCGAGAACTCAAGT